CAGTTAGTATGTTTCTCATCACTTTAAACTTAACTACTTTTATAATACACGCTATAAATTACAGCGATTCACAATCTCGATAACAAACACACAATAACTCGAAACATAATCGTAAATTACCCGGAACTCTCTTCATTCATCATCGTCCGCTGGGTTTTACTCGTCAGGCTTATATACTAACAAAGAGGCTTCGACAAAATTCGAGGAGTTTTCTGATAATTCGAGAAATTCATTCACGCATGCGCTAGCAGCGTCACGTCGTAACAATATATTATTATATAGGTAAGTTATTGGAATTTGATCACAGTCTCTGCCAGCATAAAACGTAATCCAAGTTCACAATCCTTATAAAACCAGACTTCAACAAAACATAAAAAAAACAAGAATTTATAATGAAAATATAAGGTAATACATTTAATTATATCCCAAAAGGGCTATTATACATCCTGGTGTTCCATGTCCTAACACCTGATGGCAGTAAGGCGAAACGCTTTTGAGTGTACAGAATATATAGAAAAAATAGCATGTCTTCAACAAACAGCCGCCTCAGAAGGACTGGAGTCAATAAATTTCCTTGTTGTTCCTGTGCAGCTGATAATTGTTGTTAGTGCACTATAGTAGGTAAAATACACTTTTTTAATTTTTTTATTACGTAAAGCAGGCTCGAGGCTCTACCCTTTTTCCGTTATGATTCTATGCATGTGGTATTGTAAATCTCGTGAGCTTGCAGTTAAATTCTACAAGTAAAACAGTGGATTGAGTATATGACATTAAAAACAGATTCTGCAGCTTCATCGTGTTATTACAGTCCATGTCACCATGTCCAATCATGTTATATCTGATAATATCCCGTGCCCTAAAGCGTAATTACCATTACAAAAGGCTCTGTCGTAAGGCTGTCATATCTAAAATAAACGACCCCTCTTTCCGTACTTTCCATTACCCATCTATTGTACAAAGATAGCGATTTCCCAGCGTCTGTTTCAAAAGTCCGATTGCACAGGAATCCACAGGCACTGTGCTCAATGACTTGATCACTGTGTCATTGTATGGAATATTTATCTTATTCTCCATCTGTTTGAAGTGTATGACAATTAAATAGGAGGCATGACTGTAAGCCACACAATGTTGATCTCGTTTCCAAATCCTTCTTGATTATGTTGCGTACTGTTGGCTAGAACACATGAACAGTATACTTTGAGGTTGGATTCTCATCTATTACAAGACAATGCATTATACTTACCATGGTTGGAGCATGACTTGTGACAGGTCTCTTTCTGGATGATCTTGGTGCCCCAAATGTATCCATATTCTTTTTTTCTCCAATGTTATTAAGTACAAGTGATACACCCATCTTTGAAATTCTAAATCCCTAATCTTAACTCATCTTTATGATTTGAATGTATGAATACTTTGCATCTACAATGACTACTACATACTCTTTCAAAAAGTGGTCAATTTTCGGGGCATCACAATATCGCATGTAGTTCTAATGGCTTTATATCAGCTATGGTCGTCATGTAACTTGCTGACTAACATATTCAAAATTACTTTAATGTAATAGTATTCAATCCGTTTCAATATCAAGTTTTAATGAGTTTTCCATTTCTATAAAACAGCATTAATATGGATAGATTTCAACAAATCATGAGTATTACCTTGCAGCTAAGGTAAGTAACCATTCATTGGAGAAAAATGTTAAAATAATCAATGGAATAAACTATTTTAAGATTTTGTTACAAATATAATTGATTTGAAACATATTTTTTTATTCATACATCTGTATCTTTTTAACTATGGCAAGAAACAAAGTCTAGAACCTCTTCAAAAAATGGCAACAATGCTTTAAATACATATAAGAAACTTATTAAACGGTATCAATTTTTGCTTTATAACAATCAAAATGCCAAGAACTAAGTTTACAGTTCAGTTATATTTCTTGGTTCTGCACTTATATCTAATTATATATTTCCCAACGTCAGACAGTATAGAATTCTTAACGTACAATAGGATGATAATAAAGAACGTTTTGCAGCTCAGTGTGTCATCACACAAATTCCATAGCATAAGAAGGTAAAATTGCGTTGGGGTGCTATGGTTATCATGCAGATTCAAATGCCACATTTATCAAATGTTGCCACCAGAGGTGCCACTATGACCTAATGCTTGATCAATCACAACAACTGTTCAAAATGTGCTCTTCCAGAGTCCAGAATGCACTGCATCTGTGTGACAACAGACATTATAGCAACAACACTTATCTGATATGCTGGACACTTCTGTAATAATTGCATCCTTGAGGTCTGAAATTGTCGGACTTTTCTCAGTAAACTCATGGTTTCAGGTACCTCCTCAATCAGAAATTGGCTGGTGTTAGGTCAGGTGATCGAGGTGGCCATTCATAAGGAAAGTGGTGCGAAACTATAATGTTCTAAAAGTGCTTCCACATGACCTAGTTAACCTGGTTACCAATATGCAGAGAGGCTCCATCCTGCATGAAATCCATAGTGTCTATCACATTTCATTGCTGCAGCATGGAAATCATACTGGTTGTGAGCACTGCATGATCTTCCAGCATTCAGAATGCATTCCATTCATGCGACAATAGACATTACAAAAACAATGCACATCTCATCTGGTATGCTCTCTTGAGGCAAGGCTTTCCATCATGCACATGTGATATCAAGTACACCCACACTCAGAAATTGGCTGGTGTTAGGTCTGGTGAATTAGATGGCTATTTACAAGGAAAGTGACATGAAATGATTTTTGTCCTAAACGTTCTCCCACAAGACCTGTTTCAACTGATTACCAATATGCAGAGAGGCACCAGCACTGTCTTGCAAGAAAACCATAGTGTATCATATTTCATTGCTACAGCATGGGAATCACATTGGTTGTGAGAATTGTATGGTACCATGCAGCATTCAGTGTGAAGTTTTACAGACAATGTTATGATGGTTCTTCAAAAAAAAGTACAGTCCAATAACAAAGTTAGCTGTAAAAGCACACAACATTGTCACCTTAGGATCATGGAGGTGTGTAAGAAATGGTACATAGTACATAGTTTCTGACCAGATAATGCAGTTGCATGTGTTGACACTTCCAGAAAGAGCAAAGTGCACTTCATATAAGATATTAGCAGGACATTGGTCGTCGACTTCCAATCTTGTCAAGAACTGCAACACAAAATCAACATTGGGTTAAATCCATCTCCTTTAGTGCTTGAACTGATGTAGCTTGTAGGAAATGTTTGTAAAGTTGACCAAAGAGCCTTACAAACAGTTTAAATTGACAAGTCCACACATTGGATGACATAGCATGCACTGCTGCACTCATGTGCACTTGTGCTGGCTTGTTCTAGAACAGCATGGCTGACTTCAGTCAGCTGCAGTAGGTGTTGGTGGTCTGCCTGTATGTGGTTTATCACAAGTGCAATCTGTATCCTTAAATTCTTATTAACATGCACACAGCAACATTGTAACAAGGCCCTCTACAAATGTTGTGCACTCTTAACAGTATTCTCCAAGCTCTGCCTCAGCACTGCAACCTTTGGTGTAAAAAACATTTCACTAGCTCACCTTTCGGCACACTTGTCAGTTTCATAACGGTTAAATGAGCTACACTGCAACCATCAGGCCCGTTTATACCCATGGGAAATATTCAAAAGATTTTGCATCTCATATAGTATGTTGGCCACTTCCACAATAATTGCATCCTTGAAATCTGGAATTGTGTAAAACTTCCCACAATAAACTCATGGCTTCAGGTACCTCCTCAACCAAGAATGAGCTGGTTTTATATCAGGTGAACAAGGTAGCTATTAATAAGAAAAGTAAAGTGAAATGATTCTTTCTGAAAGTGCTATTTAAAGTCCAGAAGACCTATTTAACCTGGTTCACAATATGCAGAAAAGCACCATCCTTCTTGAAAACTATAGCGTCTATGACATTTCATCTTTGTAGCATAAGAATCACATTGGTTGTGAACACTGGATTCTCCTCTAGCATCAGAATGTATTGCATTAGCACCCTTGATAGCAATGTGCAACAACTTTGATATTTGCACCCACAAGAGATATGGCGTGATGAACAACAAAACTTTCTTTATAATCCCCCAATGCCACTGTTTAGTGTCTGGATAGCCTGAAATTTTCTTCTAGTAAACAATGTAACTCAAACAATCAGGTACAGTAGAGCATGATAGATACACTGATGAAGAAAGAGCATTCGGTTTGGTAAGAAATTAATACAATTTGAAGCTCAGCTTCATCTTGTTTCTTTGTGAATGTACAAAAATGCACAATAAGCTATCTGTACTGTGCCCACTACAAGAATCAAACTCTTATTTGAAGCATTATAAGCCTTCAAGCTTACTGCTGAACCACCATGGTGGATCCACATTCTTAAATCTTGGTAATCAAATATAATTTTATGTTTTGTTGTTGTTGTTTTAGTAAAATAAAAGAATATGGTAGGGAAAAATTCACTAACTAAAATAAAATTTTGATTCAGCTTTTTTTCATATAGCTGTTTATAAAATATTTAGTAGGAAATAACAATGAAGTAAGGATCAGTAATAAATGAAAGGCTTCTTGATTGCTCCAAAGGTATCTTTATTGATGATTCATAATGTTTTATATTTATTTACATTTGAACTTGTACATTAACTGTTTAATTTCTTAAAACTGATATTTTTAAATAAAAATTCTAACTTTGGAAACATAAGGAGCTCTGAAAAACCATTATTTTAATAACATGAACAAAATTCTACTTAACCATTACAGTAATAGTTATTACTTTCAAAATCAAATGAAAACTTTTTCAACATGAATGATTGTGAAAGCACTATTGTGTATAGAGGAACCAATAAACAATATTTCCTGTACAATTTCATTTTCAATTATAGTTTTTCCAATAAACTATAACACGGTTTAAAAAAAAATTAGACACAGCTTGTGCAGCAAATGGAAAGATGCAAGATATACTAGTATATACTATATATAATAAATACACTTTTAAAGAACAAAACACAATTAAAACTCAATGAATGCACATGAAATACATATTTAATACCCTTAATATAAATTTAAAAATAATTTTACTCCTGGACATTTAATTTTTCTTTACTTAATTCTCCCATAATTATAAGTAGAGAGTGAAGAAAACAGAAATATCAAGTTTTTACATATTCTACAAAAAAACATTTTTCTTCAGTGATAAAAACTTAGGAAAGATATACAAAAGGCCCTAAAAATTACACATTTTCTAAATGATCACACATAGAAGTTTTTAAGGAACAGCCACAAGGCTGAGGAAAAGTTTACTAGAAGCATGATGAGAAATCTTTCGAGGTATTGCCACTTTGTTTCACACATCTGTCTAGACCCAATGGTCATCAAAGATCCATTCAATTCTAAAACCATATATATTTGTTATAGTCCTGAGGTAACATTAAATATAATATATAACAAAGTCTTTAAAATACACTGAAGTTTTGGTAAACCTTCCAAACATCCTATGTAACATAATATTTTAACCTAAAAACATAAGATCAAAGTATTCACAATTTATAATTACAAGTTAACAAATTCCTTACATTTAAGCCAAATACTGATTAACTTTGCATTTTATATCAAAGCACAAAGGAAATTTGCAACAAGGAAGCTACAAAGCTTTGAAAAGCAGTCACCAGGCTCAGGTAAGTCTGCTTATACAAATGTTTATGGTAAAGATCCCAGATTGATAGAACATTGTTTCTCACTAAAGAAATACTACTAAAGTAACAGGGATTTTTTTTTCAGCTCATGTAAAAGTAAATCACAGATGAGGCATCTCAATTAGTTTTTTATGTTTCTGTGTCTAATTTAGTTTCACTACTACCTAGTACTTTCCTAAAAATTTCAAATGATATAGTTTTAGGTAGAGTGAGTTAATAAGCAGGCTGTGGACCAAATATAAATTGTCAGAACATTTCAAATGGACCTATAAGTCATATGCAATTTTATCAATCACACTTACATCAAGATCTTTAGAACAACACAGAACTACTTTGTACTCAAACTGATTAATAAATGTACATTCGATAGTGCCCCAGGTTAAACCTCTGAAACTAAAGTATATTGGAAAAAACTCTTAAGTATTTTCATATTGGCTGGAACTTGAACTTACACAAAACAAGAAATTTGGACCTTGACAAAAACAAAATTGACTACTCATGGATTCAGGATACAGTTTAAAGATCATGGCATATTTTTAAAATTATAAATTATCAAAAACAAAAATTTATATACATACACTAATTTATTTTATTACTGATATTTTCCCAACCATACAAACAAACAGAACTACTTGGACTAGAAGAACTTCAGCCTGTTTTTGTTGTTTTTTACATAAACTGTGGCTTGTAAATAACAACCACATTTAACCAGAAGTATAAACATTTTTGACATTTAGCATATTATCACTGACTAGATTTATTAAAGTTTAATAATTGAGCTTCTACATTTCTGACTGTGCTTTGGTATTCTACAAAACAAACGTACCAGTTCTATCATGTTTTTTTACATTCTAACAAGTTCCAAGATATATTCTACATCCTGGTATGTTTATTTTTTTTACGGAACAAAAATAACCTTCATTTCACACACAAGAAAACATTAGATTTTGGCACCTTAATACTGATTACAGCACATGTCTTCAGTATGTTGTTCTTTATTGTATCATTGATGATACAAAAAAACCAAGACAGTAACAGCACTTAGAAAAATAATTTCATATAAAATGTATTACTACTCATAATGACTTAATACATGTAAAACAAATAACTATGTAAAAAACATATACTCATAATGACTTAATGTGCATAAAAAAGACTAGAATCTCAACTATTGTGTGTGTGTGCATATATATATATAATATAACCTACAATTTATTTATTGTACATGTAGATGGACGAGCCAACAAGCAAGTGAGTGCACCAACAAATTTCTAATATAACAATGTAATATTATGCCATTTGTACAAGAATACAAAAAATATCATCAAACATAATCAAAACAACAGATGCAGAGCTAGTCAGCATGTAAAAAGAAATAAGATATTAAACCACCCTTTAAGATATTAAATCATCAAGGGTGGTTTAACATATTATTTCTATTTTTATGGGTTTTTTTAGGGATAACTATCATACCCACAACCGGTTATAGACAGTGAGTGATAGTGGGATCTGGGACGTTGTGGGTTCTAGCACCCAGATCATAATCCCCTTTTTTTCTATTACATGCTGACTAGCTCTACATCTGTTGTTTTTATTAGGTGTTATAGACGGAATATCCTCAATGCTTTTGGGAGCTACATCCACAGACATTTTCATTTTAAAATGATACCTTTTATACTTTTGTACACATGGTATAATTTTACATTGTTACATTAGAAAGTTGTTGGCACATTCACTTACTTGTTGGCACGTACGTCTACACGTACAATAAATAAATTTCATGTTATATTATAATTTTGTCAGAGCTAAATAGTGCTGAGTGATCGCCTGTGCACTTTTGATGTAATACAGTTTATTTGAAAAATTGTATATACATATATATATATTACACACCCACACATACCCAGTTATATACACACATATATATATATTAGAAAAAATTTAATTACTATGTACATAAGGCAAATGGCAAAAATATACAATTCTGGTTTATCCTAAATTCATGTATTCTTGTATTTAGTGCTTGACATGGAATATAAATTTGTTATTTTTAGTTCTTTGGCCAAGAAAGTTTTAAGGCAAAGTTTATACTGTTTTATTATATCTTTTAAAGACTGAAGGTATTTTTGTAAATTTGTTTTTTTAACATTGTTCAATTATTATTAAAGAAAAACATTCATGCCAACTTAAGAACATTTGGATTATTAAAAACCTATGAATATTCAACAATAAATGCTCACAGTCAATGAACAGAAATGCAAAAGCACTTAAACAAATATACAAAAAAACCAAGAATATTTCAAAAACAGGTATATGTTCAACTACCAAGCCCCATCTATCATCTTGCAGTGTAACCACTTTATATCTATTTGATCTATAGATTTCTCTGCAGAAAAGCAGTTAATAATACTTGTAACAAGTTAATGATTTCATAACAGTTACAATGGAACTAGAAAAGCATTTTTGTTCACAAATGGGCAGTTTGATTTTCAATTCTGTCAGAGTATTTCAGAAAAACATGTTATAAAGACTTATCTACTAGACTATAATATAGTTATTATGTCATCAAGTGTCAGCTAGAAAGGTAAAACATTACTTCAGACAAGTAGCTAGTTGTAATTGGATTGTGGAGGGTGCTCTTTGCAAATTTTCTTTGTCATTTCTGCCTAAATAAAGAAGAAAATTATCAACATAATATTAACTAACTTGGCCATCAATGGGGAAAACATTTCCACATTCAAACATTTAAATATATTCAACACAGCCAACCTTAAATATGAAAAAATTATAGTTTTCCACTGGATTGTTCAGTGGTAAAAAAGTATCTTATGAACAGTAACTAGCAGGTTAATTCTTTAGCTTAATTGGTAACAGTACTTGTTTTTATGTCATTCCTATTTCAGAGAACCTCCATTCCAGGAGATATAATGGTGGTGACATCTCTTTACATATTGCAAAGCTATTAGTAAGCTGAAAAATACAAGTTTGTACCCAACTCTATTGAAAATTCTCTTGCTTCTCTGTTAAAGAGTATTACCACACATTGGGGTAAAAATGCTAATATATAACTTATAATGAATCCTGGAAAATATCTTAAATATCCATATCATAAATACCTATGTACAATATTGTATTTATAATGAACAATACAAGCAAAAAGATCTATATAAATATTACAGTACTGTCTGTTGTCTGTCCATGTAACTACTTCACAGGGTATGGATGGATCTTTATCAAAACTGGTATGGAGGTTCATTAGGTCCATAGGGAGATACAAACAAATTTTCAGTTTTGTATTTTGTATTTTGCTATTTTTATGGGCATTTTTTACAATTACATAACTTCCTCCAGGGGATGGGTACTCCATCTAGTTTTCTAATATAATAACACTGTAAAAGTGTAAAACAAATACAGAAACGTCAAAAATTAAGAAGTGACTTTTTGTTACTTACCAAAGGCTCAAACTCTTTTTGACTAATGATGTCAAACTGTGTGACAAAATAATAGAAATGTTTATAGCAAGTATTCACATGAGCTTCCTATAATGGATGAAAAAAGGAATAAAAAGACATTAAACATAGACAGATTAATATATATATATATATATATATATATATACATACACAAAATA